GATGTTGCCAATACATCAGTCTCACTTCCACAAAGTTTCCTAAGATCCCACATTTCATTTGGGGGGGGGGCGGGGGTTATACGTTCTGAAGCAAGCACATTCTCTCCATGCTAGCAAGGCGAATTTGTGGAATGAAATGGTCCAAAAGGCTTGGTAAAACCTATCTTTGATAGATGCAGTTTGCGACTTTTCGCTGAGATGAAAGCGTGTAAGGATTTGCTCGAACTTCCCCGCTCCTTGGTTCAGGAAACAACGTGCTTCAGGCAAAGGATCACTGCACCGGTCATCTTTTCCTCTGTGCCCATCACTGTACGTCAACCCAGAAACTTCCTTAGATCCCTGTTGCTCACTTCTGCCCGTGGTGGCATTTCAGCAGAGGTCTGGTGACATTTTCCCATTTGCTGATGGTATCAGGTGGTTTGAGAATTAGATGAAACCATTATCGTAAATGAAATTCATTCCTGCACTTTGAATAGTTGTACCCCCAATATTGATATAATCCTCTCAGGTTGGTCAAATGTCATTTTCTGCCCATTCTTAGAATCACTGTCACCGTCTGATGTTATGACCACTTTCCTTTTTTTATTTTTGCCTTCACCATGCTCTCCTGCCAGCCTACTTACCACCTTCTGATAAAGCATCATCTCCCCGCTGAGAACTGTGTTCCAAAGTCACTCAACCATCGGAGGGTCTGCACAGGATGCATTTGAACATTTCTGCACCGCAGTAAGGTTTCGGCTTTGAAACTTTGCCCGCAGGGAAATAGCGGTAGAAGTGAGAAGTACTGTTCACCCCGTCCCTGGGGATGGGATTGAAGAGTCCAGGGGAAAGTCGCATAGTGAAGAGGGAAAGCAGGACACCAAGATAGTGGATGGGTGTTGGAGTGCCCTGGCTCACCTCACACACGTGCACGTCTCAGAATCTGCTTGTACACAAACATGATCTAGCGAGCTCCCCTAAGGACCTATATGACTGTAATGCACAAAGGAACGCATCAACTAATAAAAGTGCAAACGCCAGCTCACCTGAGACCAGTCAGCAACATACAGTCTTCTCAATCTACGTAGTGGATTTCAGTTGTCTTAAGAGCTCTCATGGTATAGTGGGCTGCCAACTGCAAGGTCAGCAGTGGTTGAAGAAGGAGTCACCAGACAGAGCTCTCCATCCCCATAAAGAGTCACTGAGGTAGTTAGTTTATTGTGCCAACCTGGCCGATAAACACATGTGAGGTTAGTTGAAGGGCAAAGAGATTAATGGCTCGTCTTTCTGGTTCTCGGGTTTTTTGCTTTCTGATGGTCGGACCAGGGTGCAGTTGCCTTAGCCAGTTCCCTGCTTCAGCTGGCAAGGTTCACTTCCTGCAAGACATCCCCATGAAAAAGCTGCATGGACCTGCCCCGATGCAAGCATGGGTGCTGGAGCAGCTGTGTGGAGACTCCTGCCAGCGCTGAGATGCTTACATGTTCACTGATTCGGCTCTCTTCTTGCAGTCGGCATCATAGTGTGTGTTTTGTGAGCTGGAGGAGGACTTTGTGGATTGGTGTTGGACATATGGGTTAATGTTAGACTTGTGGGCTTGGGCAACACTGGGTTGGGATGTTTTCTTGATGTGCACTTACCCTTTATATAAAACGCTCTCTTGTACATGAGTTTCTGTGGATTTGTTCCTCTAAAGTACCCAGACGAACACAGTCATAATCCCGGGGCACTGGGGCAACTCTACCCTGTGCTACAGAGTCTGAGTCAGCACCAACTCGGTGGCAGTGAGTGAGTAGGAATTCATTAACACTACCATATTCTGCTACTTAAGATCATTGGGAGTTACACTGATTTTATTTTTCCTTCTCAAACGTTCTGTTAAGTGGTGGGGGGCGGGGGGATGGGAGGGGAGCTGTAGCAGGTCTCTGTGAATGCCAGGTCTGCCATTTGCGCTGAGACCAAGTTGTGCTATCTCAGCGAGTAACAGCAATGCTGTGACAAGAGGCACCCACGGGCAGCCTCTGGGAGTGACCGCACCGCCACAAATGCATTCTGCCATACATGGCTCTAGTGAAGGAAGGAGAGGGTAAGGAAGCTTGGACATACCAGACAGAAAGGGGAACTCTTACTGAAAATCCATGCAAATAGCACCTGCTTCTAAAGGCATCTGTTTCCTTAACTGGACAGTGTTCGCTTCCTTGGGACTTTCGAGTGTCCACCTTTAAGCAGAAGTTGAAGAGGGAACATGTCTCTTTGCCTTTGGACCACTCACCCCCTGTCCAGTAGAGTTGGACAAGGAATGACGGTCAGCAGTCAGCTGTAGGGCTTCAAACAGGTTAGGTCATGGCTCAGGAAGGAGCACCAGGGAAGGCCCTGCATTTGTAAGGTTTGGTTACTCTGGAGTAGAACCAGAATGGGGACAGTGGCAGGTCAAGGCCCCAGAAAGAGAGATCTGTAAGAGGCATAGTGAGCTCTTTCAGGAGTCCGAAGGGGGAGGGAGACTCAGTTGTTGGCAGGACTGTGGAAACGACCCACATCCAGAGCAGTGGTCAGCGAACACCTTTGAGCCAGACACTGTTATTTCCAACTCTGCCAGTCAAGAGTTGGTTGGTATATAATCCTCATTGTTCCCTTGCTTTCTAAGAAGAGGATTGGGTTTCTAACAGGGTATCACATAATTTTTCCCATGTTGCTATACGAGGAGGTACCCCCAAAAGGATTTTTTCCCCAAGGATATATATTTAATTATTTTGTGTGTGCAAAACAACCTTATCACATTTGTCTAATCTGTGATTCCATACTTGGAAAGTTTTCAAACTCATCTGTTTGAATGTCTGACAGCACCTCCCTCATTTTTTTCTTCACCTCTTCTGCGTTGTCAAATCACTGTCCTTTCATGTCCCTCTGCATTCTCGGAAACAAAAAGAAGTGACATAGAGCGAGGTCAGGTGAGTAAGATGTGTGGGACGAGAGGCATGCCGTTTTCTGTCAAAAACTGGTGCACTGAGATGGCTCCATGAGCAGGTGCAATGTCATGGTGACAAAACCAGTCCCTGCCTCTGCCACATATCAGGCCTTTTTTGTCAGACGCTGTTATGCAATCTTTTTAGAATCTAACTAGAAAACTTGATTAAGAGTCTGATCTGGTGGAACGAACTCCAAATGCACTATCCCCCTCACATCAAGGAAACAAATGAGCGTCGTCTTGATCTTTGATTTTACTTGATGAGCTTTCAGGGGGGCGAGGTGACGATGGCGCCTTCCACTGGCTTGATTGATGTTTGTTTTCGGGGTCGTGAGAATAACACCAGGTCTGGTCATCAGTAATGACCCTGAACAAAATATCTGGGTCACTTCAGAGCTGTTCTGAAGCACGGTATATTTCCCATCAGCACTGTCTGTGCTGGTCGGTCCGAAGAACCCTGAGGCACAAACTTCTCAGCGACCCTTCTCATCCTCAAATGCTTTGTCAAGATTCCCTGAACCCCGAGCCCCAGGATAGTCCAGATCACTTCCCCATGTCTTCCATGGCTCCTCGTTGGTCTTCGAGCACACGTGCATGAATTTGATGACATTTTTGTCTGTTCAGGAAGTTGGCAGACATCCATAACGAGGTTTGTCATCAATCGACATTTCACCTATTTTGAAATGAGAGAACCCCTTGTACGCTTGTTTTTCCCATAGTGCTGTCCTTGTAAGCTGTGTTCAACATCACAACAGTGTCTACGGCATTTTTCCCCGAGGATGAAATATTTCCACAGCCGCACACTCATTTCTTAAACCAGCCTTCACAAAAAAAACAAGGTCTGAGCGAAAAATTCACCGTGGCCAGGGAGAACCGTGCCAGGTGACGCCCCAGGGTGCACTAGCTCAGAGCTTAGATTACAAGATGCTCGCCTGATGGGAAAAATGCACACTCTGAAAACTCTGCCCCATGGAGCTTTTGTCCAGTTTTGGGGGTACCCCTCGTACTTGTGTTTTATAAATTGAGGTCTGCCCCAGTGGGTCTGCTTCACTGGCTATGACTGAACCAGGAAGAACCAGGTAGAAGCCCTGCTTAGTTGGGATGAAGACTAGACTTTCTTGGGTGCGAGGTTGGATGACCAGTGTAAGAGAGAGAGAGCTTTGTAAGGTGGGGAAGGGCTTCCTACAGGCACTTAAAAAAACAATCAAACAAACAGGAGCGACAGACAGTAGAGTCCCGTGAGAGAAAAGAAGGGTGAATTACCTAAGAGTGTTGACAGCTTAGACCAGATACTGGAACGAGCTGGTGCTAAAAGAACCCTGCTTAGTGTCCCTCCTTGCCTACCACCCAGGCCTCATAAAATGGCCGGAGAGAGATTAGAGGTTGGGGAGGTAGGCCGCCTCTGAATTCTCAGAAGAGCTTTGTGAGAGAGACATCTGCCAGTTCCCTGCCTCGGGGGCCTCCTCCTCCCGGGACATACCGCATCCCATACCACATCCCACCCAGCGCGTTCATTGTTGAGTTTGGAGAAGGCCACGCCAGAGAGAATTCCAGCTCTGCCGGCGCTGTGTGACCCTCGCCAACTAGACTCCTCCCCTATCGCATTTTGTCTCTGAAGTGATACTGCATTAATAGCTCCTCCCTCGGGGCGATCTTATGAGAACTGAAGGAAATACAAAATTCTTGGTACAGTACCAATCGTTGAAGAGGGCACTCAATAAATGTAAATTTCTCTTTCTCGACTGGAATGCAGTTTGATTCCAAAGAAAGTTTGAGCTTCAAACGTACAGTGAACAGAATCCCTGTTGATGATCATTCCGGACCATCTATTGGAGAGGCATTAGAGTTGCGGGAGTACATCCCCCCAAACTGTTGTGCCTTCATGAGAAAGACTTGCAACTTGAGTCTGAGTATGAAAATGTTGGTCACCCTGCTTATCCGTTTCCTCCAGGCATACATGTTTTTGATAACTTGTGATGACAACAATATTCTGGATCAGGAAGCCCTGTCTAACTGGCTCTCTTCCCTCCCCCTTGCTCCTGTTACCCCAACCGGGAAGAATTCCTTGACCAGGAGTGCGCCCCTGCCCAATGACTCCCAGGCTCGAAGCGGGGCCCGGTTCCACACGTCCTACGACAAACGATACGTCATCAAGATCATCACCAGCGAGGATGTGGCTGAAATGCACAACATCTTGAAGAAGTACCACCAGGTAATCCTTTTCCTTTCTGTTTCAAACTCTGAGAAGGATCGGATCCGCAACTGAGGATCCTTGGGAATCAAACACACGCTCTCTGCCCCTCAGTGCTCATTTCTTCTCCACACATCACTACCGATGGATTATTTCCGTGCTGTGTTTTTTATCCAGAAAAGTCCCCACCCCCACCCGCCACCATCTGTATTTCCCCCTCCCTAGAGCATTTTAAACACCACGGAAAGGGTCTTCACGATCAAGAGCCATCATTCTCGCTCGGTGCACTTATTTGAAGGAAGCCAGGGTGAAAGTCAGGAGACCCGCACCCTAGCTTGTTTTCAGCTGGTTCTTTGGTTGATCACTGAACCTCAGTTTTTCCATCCACGTTTCTTTTATGTGCTCCTGCATTTTCTCCCAGCCTTATTCCAGAAAGGATTGAGGGTGACCTTCAAGGGAGCTTGAAATATAAGATACAATAAATGGCGAGGAGGGGTGGGGGGAGTTCCACAACAGGAGCCAGGCAGGAGCCTCAAGTTCACATCATGGCAACCAGCATGCTTGCTGTCAGGGTGACCAACTGGCCTCTAGCTTCCTGCCTGCCAGCCAAGGGTGGAAAGGGCAGCCTTACAGCTAAAGTGTCTGACTGTGAACATGAATTCCTGGCTGAAGAGAACTGTCGCCTTTCTTGGTGCCAAGATCAGTCGTGGTTGTCTTTAAAGCTTTCCCACAGAGGAGATCCATATACACTGTCTTCCTAACAAATTAACCCAAGAATTCCATAGAACTCTACAGGCTTTGAGAGAGAGGGAGGGAGAGGGGTCAAGGTAGGCTCCTGGAATCACATCAACGTGGGCTTTAAGTGCCTGGGCAGTTGTCCACAGGGAGGATGGATTGCACACTGTCCACGCTGGCTGCATCCTGGCAGGACGGAGGATGTTCCCCCTTCTCGTGTACCACTTCAGACCAGTTTGAACAAGGCATCGGCAAAGTGGTTTGCTGAGCATTGCCCAGCAGTGAGCTTGGTGTGGCATATCCCCCACGGGGCCAGACTGGGGCCTCCTCATCGGCAGTCTGAGCGGGGCTTTGGAATGAGACCATCCTGTCCTTCTGTCCCAAGGCCTGGCCAAAATGCTTGTCCACTAGACCCTTTTTGTGCCTGCTGCCGCTGCCCTTTTCCAATACCCAGGTGGGTGGCTCTGCTTCTATAAACGCTCACAGCCGAGAAATCCCTGCAGCGTGGTTCCACTTTGTTTCTCGTAGGGTTGGGAAAACATTTTACAGCTTGAGTATAAATACCCCTTTCTTCACACTTTGGTTTGTCTGGAATACCCTTGGGTCTTAGAAATGATGAGGATTAACTAAGAGGTACCGGGTGTTAGAATAACATTGAAAGTGGAAAAGAAGGGTCAAGAACCAACGTAAATATTTTGTTTCTCCTAAAACTGTTTTGTTCTGGTTTTTACCTTCCCTGCCCCTC